TGTTGTGGACTCTTCCGACCAAAGCCTAAGCCTAAGGTCTCGGTATCCTTGTACACAACGCGCACCAGGGGGGGGGGGGGGGGGGGAAATGAAAGAAAGAGTTACTCAGATAGGCCATCAAGTAGTATGCTAGTCTGTGGTGTACACGTCGACAGCAGTCCCACAACTAATTACTTGGCACAAGTAACTAGTTTGCTCGAGGAGGTACATGTAGATCTAGCGTTGCAGCGCTGCCTTGGATGGGGGAGCGTTCAGGATGGCAGAGAGTAGAGCATTCCATGTTGTGAGTAGGCCGAACGGGAAGGATCGGTGTAGGATGTAAAAAGGACTTGTTGCGGGGAGAGGGTTTGACAACTGGAAGCGTCCGAAGGCATGGGAGTGTTGTTTCACTTGATGTTGGTGGCGGGTTCTGGGGCGGGGCGGGCTCAGGGGCAGCAGGTGGCAGCATGTCTGTCACTTGTCAGCTGGGCCGGACTGGAAATGTACATGTACATGTAACATGTAACATGGATGGTGGTGATCATTCATACTCAGTCTCATCTGTGCATTCGTGCCGCGTTACTCCCGTTACAGTATATTTTCATTGTATTTATCGTTGGTGTTGTAGTACTTGCCTCCACAAACAACAGCACTGTACTGTTCGGTGTTCCACCAGGTGTAGATCGACAAGGAGACCGTGTACGGTGTAGTGAGTGACTGTGTGAGGCGGCATTGTTGAAGCAAATAATTGATTACTTTTCTGGTGAGCGGAACTGTAATCACACGTCGATAAGCAAACAAAGCGGGTAGTAATTATTTCTTGCTTTGCACTTGGAGTTGGAGGATGTATTGTAGGCAACAGTTGAACTGCTGTTTCCGCACTATGCTTATTGTTCTTGATGGCTTGAGGCTTGATTCCAAACAGGGAGAAACAGACCACTGACTGAGGAAAATAGAGCTTCTACTGTAGCGGACATGGAAATCCAGTCGATTGACCGGGGCCGGCGCCCTCAGCGCGTACAGAACGTTGCACGCAGTGCACTTGTCGATCCGATGCGACCAGCAGCAGCGCATACTAAAACGTGCCACGGCTGCATGGCCAGCGCAACGGGGCCGCTAGACGTGCGACCGGATTTCCATGTCCACGACAGTAGTACAATCGTCTTGTACATGAACATGCTGCTAGATGAAATCTGATCCTGTGACTTGCGAGCCAAGTCCGCGCAGAGCGTTGTGCAGTAATTATGGGATTTTCACTGGTGCAGGCAGGGCGCAAAGCTGACACACTGGATCGGATTTCATTGACCAGCACTGCAGTCGAGCATGGTAGAGTGTACTACTACTGGTACAAAGATAGTCGAATCTGTGGGTTAGGATTCGACGAATGATCGAACATTCTCAGTACGGTCGAAGCGAAACAGAAGAACAGCAGCTAAGTAATAGTAATTAGTTGATAATAATAATAATGATACAGTCATGTGGTATAATGAGCAGGTCGGAGTTGGAGTGGTCTGACAGTGTGACAGTGTTCCGTATGCTAACAGCAGCTTTGACTCTGAGTCTGACTGAGCAGCGAGCACTCCAGATAAGACCAGAGCGAGAAAGAACGGTCCAATCAAGCACTCAACGAGCGCATCCTCGGCCGCGCATCACAAACCGTACTAGTAGATCTACAGTACTGACATACTGACTGTACTGTACATACTAGGTAAGTCTGTGGTGTAAAATGGCCTGCACCGCAGTTTGAAGCCGTGCTACATTGCCTACAATCAGTCATCACTCATCAGGGTCATGTACTACTACATGTAGTATGTAGCTCTGTACTGTAGCTCTGTACTGTAGCTCTGTACTGTAGCTCTGTGACTATCTCTAGCAGCAGTAGCCAGTGCAGTAGCAGTAGCCAGTACAGTAATCATGCCCTGGTTAGTGGTTATGCGAGTGCAGCTGATTGACTGTCTTGCAGCTTGGTAGACTTGAGTTGAGATCTTGGCTTTGGTTTGGGCTTGGCGCACGCTATCTGGCTGTGAGTTACACATGTCATGTCTACTGTAATCTGTATGCGTTTCCACTAGGCACTGCATCATGCTCTGTATGACTGTATGACTTTATGAGTCTGCTGTTCAAAGAAAATAAGGATGTTTGGAGAAGCTGAGTGGAAGAGGATTCCCACACACAACCAAAGCTGCCGAGCTGCGGTGTATGATACTGTTTTTGCTAAGTAAATATTTGCACCACACGCCTGCATGTCAGTTGTGCGCCAAGGCTCGCCGCGATAGTACGTTTTCGTGTCGGCGGCCTTTTAGCTAGCTGGCTACCGCTCTCGAGGTCGGTGAGTTCGCTGGTGAATTATCGACATCACAATCATCTCTGCACTAGGCTGGAGTAAAGATCTAGCGTGAGTAGCGGTTTGGTGGCGTCCCTGCGCTAACGTAAAAGTCGAGGAGGACGGCTAACGGTGAGTAGAGTAGTGGAGGTGAAATGGGCGAGTCGTCCAAACGACGTAGGGAAGCTCGCTAGCAGTAGGGCTGATACCGAATGCACCAACGGAGGCGACTTCGCTTGCGTAGCGTGTGCATGATCGTTTCTTGTCGTTGGCGCTTGGCGCAAACCTAACTGCCTCGGTTCCCGAGCTTCGTACCCACCCGCGTGGCCCGCTGTTGGCCCGCACATGGATCATTCTCGCAGCACTTACCCTTCTGGCAGCGCTGGGGCAGCGGGCTCCGGGAGTGGGCACCACAACGGAGCGACGGCAGCGGCTGCGATGAACGGAGACCTGTCGAGATCGGCACCAGGCGTGCGGAACCAACTGCTGGAAGCCCAGTTGGGCCAGGCCTCCTCGTCGCTCGGGTGCCTATCGGGAAAGTTCCTGGAAACGCCAGAGATCAACATCTGCGAGATGGGCAGCCTGGAAGACCTGGACATCCTTGAGGAGCTGGAGGGCCTGGAAGAGGTCTGCGTGGATTCTGAACCAGAGGATGGCGACGATACGTCCGATGTGTCCTCCCAGTACAGCGATAGCTTTGCGTCCATTCAGGACCTGCTGTCGAAAGCGCCGGAGAAGCGCAGCGCCGACGACCTGGACGTGATCATGGACTATATCCAGCACCTACCGGCGTTCGCCAACATGACGCTGCCCGTGCGGGAGAAGCTGTGCGCGCTCATGCGCCTGCAGACGTACGAGCGAGCACGCACGGTGCTGGTGCGCTCCGGCGAAGAGGTGGACCACTGGTGGGTGGTGTTCGGCGGCGCGGTGGAGCTCGTACGCGAGTCCTACGAGCCAGCCGTCTTCCACCTGGGCGAGGCGTTTGGCGTGTCGCGCGCCCACAAGAAGAAGGTCATTCAGGCGGGCTCGCTGGTGACGCGCGGCACGGAAACGCTGCTGCTGAGCGTCGCCGCGGAGCAGTTCCACGACGTGTTTGCGCAGTCGGAGCAGGCCACCGTGGAGGTGGTGGAGGACGGCGCGCTGGTGATGGTCACGGAGTATCGCAAGACGGGCAAGACGGAGTGGGGCCAGGTGGTGGTGCGTGGCGCGCGGGCCAAGCTCGTGGCGCACCTGGTCGTGGGAGACTACGACCCAGCGTACGCCGAGGACTTCCTCCTGACGTATCGCACGTTCATGACGGCAACGGAGCTCGCTGAGCTCCTCGAGCAGCTGTTCCTGCACGCCGAGCTGCGCGACCGCGTGGCCCGCGTGGTGCTGCTCTGGGCGAACAATCACATCGAGGACTTCAACGGCTCGGTGGAGATGATCGGCTTTCTACGCACGTTCCGCCGCCAGCTGGAGGAGACGAACTTCCTGGGCGAGCTGCGGCTGCTGACAATAGCCGTGCAGAGTAAGGGGACTTTCCCACTTGTAGAGCATGCTGGCGGCGATTCAGACGCTCCTCATGACCAACAGCATGTGGCGGGCAGGTCACGCCTGGCACCCCAGCAGCACGCGCACCAGAACGGCATCAGCGGGCACCTCTCGTCTTCGTCCGGCGCTCTGAACGCCGTGGGTGGTGGGGGCGTCGGCGGGGCTGCGGACAGCTCTCCGCGCTCCTCCACGCTGTTCGGTCGGCGCCTGCACGGCTTTGCCAAGCGCTACGCGTCCACGTCGAACATGCGCTCGGCAAGCATGCGCGTCGCATCGGCGCCGCACGCGCGCAAGACCTCTCTCTCCGTGCCCATGAACAGCAGTCCCGCTGGCGGTGGTGGAGGGTCTTCTTCGGCGTCCGTGGTGGCAGCGTCGGCGAATCGTCCCTCCAGACCCACGTCGCCGTCTAGCCTGTTGCCGCTGAGCGTGATCAAGCTGTACCGGCACGATCACCAGCACCGCTACCTGACGGTTGGCGCGGCGACAACGGCGCTGGACCTGGTGCGCATGGGCGTGCGCCAGTTCGAGATGCCCGACTCGGAGGAGTCGTTCTCGCTGTGCCGCATCACCGTCAGCCCGCAGGGCGTGGTGCAGCAGACACGCCTACCGGACGCGTTTGCCAACCTGCCGGCGGAGCTGCGCCCAATGTCGCGCTTCTACCTGAAGTCGAACAAGACGACGACGAACCTGGTGCACGGCAGCAGCCTGGTGACGGACATCATGCACGACGGCGCCTGCGATCTCCTGAGCCTGGACACACGAGATGTAGCACGCGTGGTCACGCTACAGAGCTTCCTGACGTTCCGCCGCATCAGCGGGGCCGAGTACGTCAACTACATCTGGGATCTCAACGGTAATGGCAGCGGCAGTGGTGGCAAGGATCATCCCGGGGGAAAGGAGCAGAGCGACTTTCAGCGTTTCTCCAGCACCACCAACAACGAGATGTTCTGGGTGGTCACCGAGATCGTCAGCGAGCCGTCGATGCAGCAGCGCGTGCGCAAGATCAAGTTTTTCCTGAAGGTGGCCAAGCTGTGCCGGTCGCTGCGCAACTTCAACACCATGTTCGCCATCACCAGCGGCCTGTCGTACGGGGCCGTCACGCGACTGCGCCAGACCTGGGAGAAGCTTGGCGCGCGCGATATCAAGGTGAGTTGCCGTATTAACCCCGAGTATAAGCCACACTGGTGTAAATGCCGCACCTTGATGCTCGTCGGAAAACACAGACATATGCCCTGTTTATCACCGCAAAATTTGACCATCGTACTTGTACTGCAAGTTGTAGTATAAGGCAAACTGACTTTTGTTGGGTGAATAACTGGTGTTCCAGGGGTGGATCCAGGAGGGGTTCCACAGAACCCCCTAAATTTCGTCAATCTACCACAGTCAGACCTCGCTTATCCGGTCCTCTTTTATCCGGATCCCTCGCCGTCCGGAAGAAAATCGTTGGTTACCGATTTACAGCATATGTCATGCATGCATACAGTATGTGAGTTCGATAATCCGGTTCCCTCGCCTGTCCGGATTTTTTGTGGGAAACGGATGTGTGCGGTTATGCGAGGTCTGGCTGTACTGTACTAGCAGCCATATGCGTGTCCATGTACGTATCAGCTATTCAGTGTTGACTATACTGGACCCCCCCCCCCCCCCCTGTAGAGATCGCTGGATCTGCCGCTGTGTTAACAGTTCAGGTTATACAGTCAACTTCGCTAATAACGACTGCGGATATAACGACAATTCGCGAATAACGACATATATTTCATGCCCAGAGCAAAGTCCCATCCAACTGTGACACATATAATGAGACTTCGGGTATAACGACACTTCGCAAATAAGGACACTTTTCTGATGCCCCGCCGAGTGTCGTTATAAGCGAAGTTGACTGTACTCCGAAAATGCGGAATAGAAAACCAGCCATGTCAGGCACATTATTGTTCCAGCACACTCGTATCTCTCTTATCTGGGCGATCCTGGATCGGGCAGTGCCCATAGCTCGGAAATGTCCGAACCCTACATCTTATACGTTTTGATAGGAAAGGGCTCTGGCATATGCCGTCATTATTTCCACCGAAAATAGGCAAAAAGAGTAGCAACATTTCACTACATTAGGGTGCATGGTAGACGGAGGTACCCGCAACTTGGAGCTCTGTTTAGGAGGTAATGAGTGCAGTTACTCGATCTGCGGACACATCTGTGTGAAGTTAGTGTGGATGATTCTCTATGTCCCAGGTACTAAGGGCACCCGTTTGACTACCCGTGCGTATGCCTGGTTTTAGCCGTTATATGTGTAGTTATAAGCAGGTTGCTCACAGAGCCCGGTGTGAGGGACAGATTTTTGTCCACTGTGGACGGTTGTGTGTGTGTGAGTGTGTGTGTAGGGATTCACTGGCCAGAAAAAGCCACTTCATAGCTGTGTGGTGTAGACCAGCCTGAATAGTGGTGGTCAATTCTTCAGCCTTGCAAGCTGTTGAATGGTGCAATCCCAGCACAAGCTGCTATGGCTTCTGCTGTAGCATCGCCTCCAGCGATGGGCGTCAAATGGTCAGTGGTGTGTGTGTGTGTGTGTGTGTGTGTGTGTGTGTGTGTGTGTGTGTGTGTGTGTGTTGCGCACGTCTACGTGCACATGCGTATATTATGTAAGAGGGAGAGACAGAGGAGAGAAAGATAAAGAGAGGGGGGGGGGGGGCATCGGGGAGAGATGAAGAGGTCTTCATCTAATTGCACTCTATGTACTTTTCCGGACATGGTTGCATGCTTCTGGCTGCTCACATGTGTGTCTGTGTGTATGCTTGTGTGTGCACGTGTCTGTGTATGTATGTGTATGTGTGTGCATGTCTATCTATCTGTCTGTCTGTGCACATGCCTACGTCTCTATCTACACATGTTTTCCCCCATCCCTTCAACAGAGCATTGAGGAGATGCAGATCTTGATGAATCCGTCTCGCAACATGCTCACCTACCGCTCAATGGTGAGCAGCGTGTCCGCTCCCATCGTCCCCTTCTTCCCCGTCGTCACCAAGGACCTGACCTTCATCTACCTGGGCAACGACGACCGCATCGACGGTCTCATCAACTTCGAGAAGCTTCGCATGATGGCGCGGGAGATCCGCCACATCAACGGCTTCCACGCCAGCAGCTACGACGTCACGCGGATGCTGCGCGACCCGAAAGACAAGCTGACGGACCGCGACGTACGTAAGATCTACGAGCAGTGGTTCTCCATGCGCCGCGTGGAGCACTACCTCAAGAACCTGAACATCATCAGCGACGAGGCGGAGCTGGACGCCATGGCCCAGAAAGCAGAGCCCCCGCCGAGCGTGCGAAACACCTCCGGTTCCACGCTGGAGATCCGGTGATAGCAGCATGCACGATGTGTGTTCGCGGCTCTGACGGTCAGCGTTATACGACCATTGGGATTTGCACAACAGAGTCAGGGTCTCCGTGTATGTTTCCGTGGCAACCGTCCGCAGTCCCAGTCGACCATGTTCGCTGCCGTGTTTGTTGCCGGGGCAACCCTATCCCTCACCATGGTGATGTGACAAGCCCATGTACCTGTGCGTTGGATTTATCCCCCAGCAATCAACGGAGAGCGCGCCACTCCGCACACCTGCCGCCACTGTTGCTCCTGCTTCCGCTTCTCGTTCACTGATGTCTGGCAGTCGTAGCTGATGTATATGGTGGAAGAAAGCACAACCAAAGCTAGCCAACATGCACCGACATGCAGCACCTAGCCGACACACACGTGGGCATGTGTAGCACACAGCGGTAATCCATCCCCTGTACTGTAGGAGTTCACATCCTGTGTGTGTGTGCCCGCATGTGTATGCGAGCCTGTGCACGAGTGCAGAAACGGCATGACACAATATCCTGTGGACGTTCACAACAGCACTAAGCCCAATCAGGACTCGCACTGCTGATGTGTTGGCGGCCCCATGCCACACGGCTTAGGTGCGGTTTTCCAACTTTTCTCTTTTCTCGTTTTTACGACACAGTCAAACGTGTCTGTGTTTTTCTTTGACTATGGCTGTGCATATGACTTTATCCTCGCTTGAGCCCGCAGCTTGATTTCACGTTGAGTTTTCTTCAGCTAAGCTTTGACACGCGTTGACCCAGCCTTCACTTGACCGCCGCTGCCACCATGCTTGCTACAGCTAGCCCCATTCACATGCATGCATGCACCAGCTAGGCCAGGTCTCCTGCATCGAGGCAGTGCCGATACTGCCATGAGCACACTGCGTGCACACGGCAGCCTGTGCCTGCGTCGCTCCCTGCCAAGCGCAGGGACGTTCCCTCACTGCCTAGCATGACCTGCTATGTGAGGGACATTCTCTCGCTTAGCCTAGCCTGCACTGTCTGCTCAGTTCACCAGAAAACTGGCCACGCCACCATGCAGAGTTGCCAGAGCTGCAATTACTGCTGCTGAGCTGTGCAATCAATGTCCACACATTTTTGGAGAACTTATCAAGTCTTGTCGACAACAGCATTCTGTTGACTTTGATGCTAGATGCTGGAGGCGAACCTGACAACCCATATCATCTATGAATTCAATTTTATCTCTGTGTTATATAGAGGGCGCACTCATATTCACCAGGCTAGCAATGAATTGATTAGTTTTTTTCCGGGAGATGAAAAGGAAAATAGGTATAAATAAAAATATGTTCTCTTTCATTCTCATCTGATCAATTTTTGGCCACCGTCCGCACTATATGTACGACTACATGTATAGCTATTATTCCCGTATATGGGGTACCGAAGAACGTATGTAACGATGATGGTAGTGTGCAAGACGTGTGTGCGGGGTGCACATTATTATACCTAGTTGTCTGACTTGCTGTGTTCGCTCACTGCTACTCTATGCCTGCCGGTGATGTGTGTGTGTGTGTGTGTGTGCACGTGTCTGTATTTGTGTGTGTGTGTTCGTGTATGCATATGTGTGTGTGTGTGTTCGTGTATGCATATGTGTGTGTGTGTGTGTGTGTTTGTGTATTCGTGTGTGTGCACGTGTGCGTGTGTACATGTATATAAAGGGCGGAGCGGAGGTTGTAACATACACAACTCTTAAGTTACATGCTGCCAAACCAGCCCCAAGGCAGGGCAGAGCAAGGAAAGTTTCAAATCAATGACATTGTGTAAAGTTGCACAATCTGGATGATGTCACTGTCAAGTTGACAGTGACATCATCCAGATTGTGCAGACAGTGCATGTCAATCCAAGAAACTTGAAGTGTGTTTGTGATGGCAAGTGGAATGATCATACTTCTCTGGAAAAATGGCATAATAGCAGTGGTGGTGGTGGTGGTCGCTTTATGTGTGTGTGTGTGTGTGTGTGTGTGTGTGTGCTTGGAGAGATGTGGCAGCTTCAGACCTGCGTGCGACCGGTATCCCGGAGGCGCAATGGTACCACCTTGCTCAGGACTAGAGGGACTGGCGCGAACGTAGCCGTCGGAAGCCACCAAGCCAGCCCCAACCAAGAGTGTTCGTCTGTGTCTGCGGCCGCGACTTTCGCCGTCCGAATGATTTATCCCGACACAAGAACTACTGCCTCGCCTAATAGCTATCATCGCCTTCGGCGATGGGCTTTCCAAAGGTCCAAAGGTGTGTGTGTGTGTGCACGTGAGAAATAATAAATGGCTGTGGGGGGTAATAAATCTCCATAATAAGTCTCAAAATAGCACTCAGACAGTTTGGGAGACTGCCGTGGTTATACACAGCGTGTATAGGATCAACTCATCAAGGGTTCTACTAATATCGACCTGGACAGTTTGAATCCAAAAAATTCTCACCTACACCCACGCTCACACCCAAGTTCACGCTCACATCCTTGTATGCATCCACAAGCTATTAAGCTTGCACTGGAAGCAGCTGCTTAGGTCAGGAGCCGCCATAAAAAATAACTCTGCTGATAAAAATATGCGTCTTTAGTCAATCTCTTGGAATCGTCCAAGCCACGGCCTCATGATTGAGAACTGACCTAGCGGAAGGTCACGGCGGGGTGCTTAAGTTCGGCCAGTGAGTCATACTTCGCCGCAAGCTGGGGCCCCATCTCCTTGACGGCGGCGAGAAACTTGTCATAGCTCGCTGGTCCGCCAATGCGCAAGCGTTCCATCAAGAGCATGTTATGCCTGATGCTGCCCTGGATCTCCTTGCCCTGCAACTCGAGCATGTCCGTGTCAGAGAGAAGCCCCTCGCCGAAGCAGACCAGGCGTGCCTCGGCCGGCTCCATGCTTTTGACCAGCCAGACCATCAGCTTGCGAAAGCGATCGTCGTGCCACGGATTGTGCCTCATGCCTGCGTTGGAATGTAGCAAACACAAGAGAGAGAGAGAGAGAGAGAGAGAGAGAGAGAGAGAGAGAGAGAGAGAGAGAAAGAAAGAAAGAGAGAGAGAGAGAGAAGATAGATAGATAGATAGAGAGATAGAGAGGGAGAGAGAGAGTGAGAGGGAGATTGATAGAGAGGAGAGAGAGGGAGAGATAGAGATAGATAGATAGATAGATAGAGAGAGCGAGAGAGAGCGAGCGAGCGAAAAAGAGAGAATGAGGATGTGGGATGGTGGTGGTGGTGGTGTTGTTTGTGTGTGTGTGTGTGGGGGGGGGGGCTTGGCCTGTGCTATATACACGTAGCAGCTTATCGTAACCTCATTGCATATCTGTACTCAGTGCATTCCCAACAAGCCATGCTTGAAACACATCTTCTGTATTCATACAAAACAATCAATAAACTAAGATGTTGCGACATCGGCGCTAATTGGTGAAGAATGTTTCTGCTCGGAACGCTGGGATTCTCGTGTGCTCCAGACCCAGCCGTGAATCAGCCAAGTGTCAAATCAGTCGGCAGGAAGCGCAAGCTCCGACCGTTCGGAGCAGACACTTTCTTAACAAACAAACTATTACCGGAACAACTGCCGTCAGTTTCATCCATGCTGGACGGTCGACTGGCCCAGCCAGAGCTGTTACTTCTGTCAAAGCTGCTGCTGTCTCCAGTCTCCGCTACTCCTGTCCGGGTGCGGCTGCCGGCTGTCTCCTCGACGGGCGCAGCAAAGCACGTCACGTCCTTGCCGCCCAGCTCCTTCTGCTCGGCCGAGCGCAGTCGGGCCGCCAGCTCGTGATTGGAGCGGAGCGCGGAGTGCTGGAGCGCGTCATGGAAGACGGCAAAGGCACTGCGACCGCGCGACGGCAACAGCTGCAGGATAATTTCCGCCTGGTGATATGGGGCAATGGGACAGAGTCATAGCAGAGGAGATATTGGAATCATGACATCAGAGTCAGATGACAGGACATACAGTCGTCCCTCTCTAATCCGGCACCTTTTGCTACGGCATTTTCTGCTGGATTAACGAGGGTGCTGGATTAAGAAATCCTGCCCTCTGACCCGGCCCTACCCAATTGCATGCATGTATCATACGTCAAAACGCAGGGTTTTTCCGTGTCGACTCCAGTATTTGGTGCACGGCTTTATATTCTCAACTTTCTCCAGGAATATACACAGTGATAAAGTAAAACAGAGAACATGTTCACATGTATACGTACTCTTGCACACACACACGCACAGTCGGACTGCCGGATTATGAAATCAAACTACGTGCAGTTTGAGCGATTCGTTTCAAAAAGTCACTGCCGGAGGCGGAATTCAAGTGCCGGATTAAGATGTAGGAATTGAACGAAAAATATCGGTTTCGTCAGAAAGTGCGCCGGTTGGCAAGGGTTCCGGATAAACAAGTGCCGGATTAGAGAGGGACGACTGTATTCTGCAATATTTATTCAATTTTATTGCTACAGTACTGTCGGGCGCCGAAGAACTGGGGGTCAGGGTTATAGCCTAGAGTGTTCCTAGTTTTAGCGAACACAGCAGTTTCGTTCTTATTCGATGGTACAGGCATACATGTACATTTATGCAGAGTTAAACATCTGAGTGTACAATAGTGTTACATTACGGTTTCCGTCCTTACAATTATCTGCAAAAAAATGCAGCGAAGACCATTCTTAAGAAAATCTAGCCTGGCCGTTCTTCGGAGGTCCGTTCTTCGGCGCCCGGCAGTACTGTATTTCATTCTACCATATATTATTCTTTCAAAGGAAATTACAGACGTTGGCGGACCTGTAGGTAAGGGCATAATGAGTGGTGTGGTTGAGGGGATTTGCCGTGGAGAACATATACGCAAAAGAAACACGATACAAACACTCTGCTTCACTATATCCCCACCCCACCCAACCAGATAATGCTTTTCTGCCCTGCTCAACCCCCCCCCCCTCCCCCCGCAACCAACATTTTGCTTTTAAACGGAACCCCCCCCCCCCCCTCCCCGCAATCAGATACAAATGAACTGCTGCCTACCCCCCCCCCCCCCCCTGCCCCAGTCCACTCATGTACAATCACTCAAGTGCAGTAAAAACTGTCAAGGCGACCACTCGAATAGAGAAACAACCTCTCCCTGACTACCACTGCAACCAGCACCAAGGGATGCTAATTCCAGCCAATTGCACCTGGCAACAGAGACCTGGTTTCGAAAGCCCCTTCAGAGCGGTCGTCTTAGGGCAGGTTTCACCGTACTGCAATGCCCTACACCCCTAAGCACAGAGCTGCTGACTCACCTGCTCCCTACCGCATACCGGCCTGCCACCACCACCACCGCCATCGCTCTCCTTGGCCTTGATATCTAGCTTCTCGGCCTCGGTGATGATGCGCTTGCAGTACAGGTGGTCGAGCAGGTGGTCGTCCACTGCCAGGCTCTTCCGCAGGTCCATGCGCAGTCGTCGCAGAATGCCCTCGTGTGCACGATCCATTTCCCCCGGTGCTGCCGCTGCTGCTGCTGCTTGCGACAGGCCACGGTTGGCACACGTGAACGTCAGCAGTTCACCGGATTTGAGTCCACGAGGAGACTACGGAGTACGCTCCTGGCAACGGATTTCCCACCGTAGGTTGATTTTAAGAGATGCTGAATTGGCTGTAGTGGAGCCTCCTAATATGGAAAAAACCTGGTGTAGCAGCAGATATGCATGTATTACAGAGGTTATACGAATGATTTCATTGGGATTTCCAAATGTGCACAAGCATACGAGCGTGAGTCAACAGATTTTCGAATTTTTTGAATGACAACTAAGTATGCAGCAGTGTGAGACAATTTTTTTAAATTTTTTGAACCTGATCAGTATGTGTGTGTGTGTGTGTGTGTGTGTGTGTGTGTGTGTGTGTGTGTAGGTTTGTGTATGTGTGTGTGTGTGTGTGTGTGTGTGTGTGTGTGTAGGTGTGCCACACTGGAAACTTATAAGCATTTCCAGGACAGTATTGCTGTGAATTATGAAAATGTTTTTGTACGGCTATTATAAAACTCGTCTATCCGTGAGGAGGCAAAGCAAACGTGGGCAACATTCTGCTGCAGCAAGCGCGGAGCTGAGGCTGGATTGGTGACTGACGTACCTGCTTACTCCACAACACCGGCGCATAATGATGTACATGTACAAGACTTCGTGAGTATTCAACTCAAATTCGTGTTCCGTCAGCGTCAGTATCAGCAAGTACATGTAGTACAATTATTTGTTCCCAAAATAACTTCGGGACAGTCTGTTCATGGTTTTCATTTGTATTGGACTCGTTCTCTACACTTGCGATAATTTAGCGGCAATTCTAATGTTGTAGCGTTGTTCTCTTGTAATTTAGTGGAACATGTATTGAGTAACTGAGTTTTATGTTTCGTTACATTGTCGACAGATCTCCTGTGTACCGGTTTTGTGGCACAATGATTATAGCCATTTGTCGTCTCCATTCTTGTGCAATCATGCATATGTAAGTTGGTTCTCTTCATGTTATTGTGACCTATTTCATAGATGTTGGTTGCCTTGTTGCTTTCTCTCCCCTCTCCTCTCACCCAAGTCATTCTGCATAAGCGAAGCTGTGGACGCAGCATACTGCTGCTACACTTCAACGCGGGAATGCGTATAATAATAATAATAATAATAATAAATAATTATAAAAGTGACGTCATAAAATTGATACCAAATATTCTGGATTAAATTTATACAATGAGAAAGATCCATGATGGTCAAGCGCTGTAAAGCGCAAGACCGCCTGAGCAGGATGGTTTGACATATGAAGCATTGAACCTCTTCCAAAGCTTACCTGTAGTTTGATATAGATTAGTGGAACGGTATATCCGCCACGTTGCAAGAAATACTACAATTCATCGACCCAGCTAGCTAGCTAGCTAGCCAGGCATACCCGTGCCAAACAGCCCCGCCCGTAGCGTCTGTATAGCTCTGTATACTGTAGCACGTCGATCACAACACAGTGGAACACTTACTGTGACTTAGAAGTTAGATCACAGCCACAATGCCTAGCGCAGTAGCCACGATCGACTCCAAACTCGCAGCGCGGTGCTTGCTGCACGATCGAATCCTACAAGTCCATTCATTAAAATGACATGATATGAGCGCTGACAAAAATAAAAAATGAATGAAAGACACATAATAAGTACATGTAGGTCACGTGTGTCCCATGCATGGCCCAACCGACCCTTGCCAAAAATCCGGTCTGGCGACTGTCCTGAGCTCATCAGGTCGTTTCGTCCTCGTTTTGGTCAGCAGCCAGACCATGTAGAGGTCTACCAGCTGGCTAACGAGTTACGTTAGCTAGGCCAGCACTCTTTTTCACCACGTAGCCCCCCCCCCCCGCCCGTTCACTGACACACGTGACGTCCCTTTCTTACATCTCTTCCTATCTACCCCCCCCCCCCCCCCCCCTCTGTTTTCTCTCTATCCCGACTCCCGATCCCATGATATTGATAAGCATCCGTTTGCCCTTGGAGAATCAAAAGTAAGTAGACAACCACAACAACAACAACAGCAACAACTCCATCCATACCAAGTCTCCAATGCGGATACCAGTGATTAGGCCTTGTCTCACACAAAATGACTTCGTGAAGTGCAGAAAAAGTTTAGCATAAGTATTATAGTTGCTTAACATAAATTATTGTTGCTCAGACTAGCCCGCCCCCTAGCTCTCCTCGACCACCCTGTCACCCCTGATACTCCCTTGACTCCACTGTCAGACACTTTTTTTTTCGTAATTTTCTCCTTTCTTTTCTAAATTCTGCTCATCCATTCGCCGTTATATCATTGGGCCTAGTTCCCGTTTATTGTGCGAATAAAGATAGACAGAGCAACCAACCAACCTACCAACCAACCAAGTGGAACACACAAACAGAACTAACAATACTGTACACTGATGAAGTAATGGACCCGGTCCATCGGACACTACAATGTCATTAGTTAAAAATATTCTGCTGCCCCATAGGGGTACGCCTTCTCGGAGTTTCCCAGTATTCATAAATTCTCCACAGGGCTTAGCCTAAGTCGAGGAAATCCCCGTCGGCATGCGGCAGGTTATGAAGAAGAATACGCCGAATAGAGATTGCATGACGCAATAGTTTTAAAGATGCAGGCACTGTACATGTAGACCTCGGCGGATATTGGCATATTCTGCTCGAAAAGCGGTGAACTTGGCAGATTCTGTTCGAAAAGTAGTGAAATTGGCGGATTCTGCTCGAAAAGTAGTGAAATTGGCGGATTCTGCTCGAAAAGTAGTGAAATTGGCGGATTCTGCTCGAAAAGCGGTGAACTTGGCAGATTCTGTTCGAAAAGTAGTGAAATTGGCGGATTCTGCTCGAAAAGTAGTGAAATTGGCAGATTCTGCTCGAAAAGTGGTGAAATTGGCAGAACCATTCAAACCTTATCAAGGCTTATGACAGGCACCTCCTCGAATTCTGCTCCATTTCTTCATCCACAGACCAAACATGCACGAAACATACCAGAGAAAGTACCAAGTTCGGCCAATTTTTCTGTCCGCATTGTTATCCGCCAAGGGGTACATGTAGATGTAGCAGGCCAGCAAAACCCTGACGAGTGACGACGTTGTTCAGACCGGTTCAGTGGTGCACGTGCAAACCCAGATCAAGGTTTGGTTGGTTGCATGGTCTATTTTATTTTACTTCACCAGCGTGAACAGGCATTGCTTCCTTCTTGCTTGGATAAGTTAAAGTGGATTGCCCAAGCTCTCACCAAAAGACAAGGATAGAAATATTCACGTGACTTGAGAGTGCGAAGCATGCAACAGGTCTCGCTGTAAAAGGGCTAGGTCAAGGGCAAGGTGGAGACAGTACCACCGAACCATCACTGAAACGTCAGCCTTGATCATGGTGTACAATATACATGTACATGCATCTACAGTCCATTTGAAAACTATAGACGCGCAGTGTTTTTGAAATATTTCAAATTTGGCTGGAACGTTTTGAGAATAGTTTTCCGGGAATATTGCTCAGGTCCGCTCCACAATTACTCTCATATAGTTTCTAAACGATTGGATAACAGACGCCCAACTAATACTTGGAAAAAATTATGCACAAAGTGAGCACAGATTTTATGTGTTGATAAATATGGTGGTAAAGACACACCTGGCAATATGGCGGTAAACACACGCCTGCCCACACACGCTCTCTAGGCTGCAAAGTTCTGGCACAGAGCTCTCCTTCTCACCACCACCACCATCAGTTCGCGCCTGGCGCCTGGTCGATGCATGGCTGGCGGTATCCGGCATAGCAGGCTGGTACATCAAGTAGCGCATGGCACATAGATGATGACACAGCAACGACATAGCTCGATTGCGACGTACGTTTCGTCCCCGCTGGACTCATCAGGCAATCTTCTTCTTGGATGTCTTCAGATTTTATGTGGTATACAAAATGTAGATGCTGGCATAACGGTTTTTGCCTAGGTACGTGTCTATAGTTTTGAAACGGACTGTAGTGACTATCTACTCCAATAAAAAAGTGAGGGAGAGAAAAGGGAAACAATCTGAAGAAAAACATGACTGTCACGACCACTGGGGCACCAGGGGCCTATGCGGATAATGCCGGCAGAAAAATTGGCAGAATTCGGTACTTTTTCTGGTAGGTTTCATGCATTTTTGGTATGTGGGTAAAGAAATGGAGCAGAATTCGAGGAATTGCCCGCCATAAGGTTTGTATGGTTCTGCCAATATTATTTCACTGCTTTTCGAGCAGAATGTGCCACCTTTTCGAGCATTATCCGCCAGTGCCTAGTGGCCCAGGGCTCAAACCAGGGACATAATCACATTCGCTATCGTTCAAAAGTTCAGGGAATGGAAAAGGGAAAAGTCTGAAAACTATTGCCTGTCTGTCTGTCACCACCAGGAGGCAGGACTCGAACCAGGGACCTACGCTTGACATTTTGAGGCCAGTCATGCTCTAACCACGGAGCTATGGAGTAGACCCGGGTGCTCGAATCAGAAACGATTTGACAGGTGTGCAATTTCTCATCTGTAAATCTCAAGAATGTCAGAATATACTTTTGGAGAGGCGATGGAACAGGGAAGAGAGTCTGGCTTGACCCACCCAGCAGGAATTCAGAACCTGGGTGCGCTACAACACAAGCTACAGACGCAGTAAAATTGTCGTATTTCCTTCGGATTTTTTATTTGAAAATTGGGTGCTCGAATCAGAAACAGCGAACTCGTCAGATCGTCTCCGATTCAAGCACACGGGTCTGCCATCGTCTACGCTTGGTGTGGCAGTTGAGGGCAGGGAGTAGTAACTTACTACTTCATTTTTGAGAGCAAGATGGTCAGTGGAGCCGCAGATTCAGCAGGTCTTTGGCAGCACCGTACAGGAGACCCATATCCTCGAATCAAGGACCCAGCAAAAAGTGGGTCGCGAGTATTTCAAAAAGTGTTTACCGGGCAGCGCTGAAATTTGGCATACCGTTAGCAGGCCGTATGTTGATGGTATTTGTGAAAACTAAACGAAATCGGAACAAGTTTAGGTACAATTTCAGGGTGTTTCTGTTTTGGTACCCTGTGTCTCATTCGAGCACCCGGGTCTACGGTGTCGCTATCATGGGGCAGCGATGTCCTGATGTCCTGATCCTGAGCTATGGAATGGTGTAGACTGTATTGTAGAGTAGATCTACATGGTTGTACATTGTACATGTAGCTATCATCCAAAAAAAGTCTTATCGATTGATCTCTTTGCTTCGGGTGTGAGGACCTTGCGTGGAGATTTCCGGTCTCTGTGACCGCGAAAGTAGAGTGCCTCGAGGTAGATCTACTGCTTGTTACGTCTCTTGAAATAGATCAATCATGTACTAAGCGTAGTACACGTGTAAATTCGACATTCACAGAACATGGCGGTAATCGTTTCACTGCATCATCTACTTTAGCGAAGTATTTCTCTGAGTAGAGAACCTTTCTACAGTCTCAAGGAACATGGTCACCTGCCCTCTCAATCTCACTGATGTGAGTGACGAGAGTTATCATCGATGGTTGCCCGCTACCGCACGAAGGATGAGCATTCCGGTGTGAAACCTTGCTCCGATCATGAAGTAAAGGACAATAGGTGTAAGTGTCCAACCTTGCTGTTGCTGCTGTTGCAGTCGCACGTGTTATGTTCAGCTCAGGTGGTCTGCGCTGCGTATCGTGAAACTCACAGCGATCTAGCGACCACTTCGCGCCACTTCAGTGCGATGTCGATGATAAACCGAAGAAATGACACCTCCGGGTTGATATCCATCCTGGCAGACTGCGAAGACCACTTTCGCTCAAGTGCTTGTACATCGAGTCACAGATGCATCGTTCGCTCCTCTCTGGTCTGCTCGCGGAGAAAACCGTTTCGGCAGGAACACGTTAAAAGTACAAGAAACTACGAAGCACTTTGGTCGGCTGGTGCCGCAAAGCACCGACAGCGCAGCCAGGTGCTCTCCAAAGTGCTCACGCTACTCCCAGCATGCTGCTTCACCCGGCGAGCGACCCTGTACGCGAATACCTGAGTCTGGCTCCTAAAATGCAGAGGGATCACCGTTGATATACACGGAACGTCCAATGAAACTCGAAAACAGCGTGAGCGATTCGGAGAGGTATTCCAGCAAGACGCTTTTCAGAGAGAAAGGTGTGCGGAGGAAGCTGTATTCGACGAGTACAAGCTGTATTTGATTTGGAGGCAACTTTAGCTCCGCGCGCTGATGGGTTTTGACGCCACGGCTTGAAAGCTACGGAACGTTTCAAGTTGAAAAGGTAAGTCTGAGAGTGTGTGGGCTGCAGGAATCGATTCGCTGTGTTCTGCCGTATGTGTGGTCGAACACTTGGATAAAAGTGAACATAGTGCTGCGTAGACCTATGCTGGTCCAATTCAAGGGGACTGTTGCCATTAGCCCTGGCTCGGAAGAAACCATGCACCTGAAAAGGCCAGCGCTGGGCCTGTCTGTGACGGTCCTGTTTGAGGGCGGAGGCGTCAGGGGGAGTTCCGGAGGGGAGGCATTAGGGAAGTTGGGGCGGGGGTGTTGGGGGGGGGGGGGGGGGGGGTCAAGGTCCCAGTCAACCTTGCGAATAGCGAGCCTTGATCATGCATTAGAAAAGTGCTATCATTTGTTTCGCGTGTTGTCATTATTGAAAGTAAGCCGTGAAATGGTAGCTGGGCCTGAAGATTTTGTTTTTATCTGCGAGTTGTTATTTGAAATATTAAATTTATTCTCACAATAGCCAGTGGCCAATAAGAGATGCACATTTTGGGACCCAAGCATTCTCAGCAGGGTTCTCGCCAAAGCAACACAGCGGGGGCGCTGCGCCCTCCTTCACTCTTTGACCGCCCCCTTTCAAATTTAATGCCCCGCCCTTCAGAGTGCGAGCCGCCACCCTTTTATATGCATGATGAGAGCACACATCATGCACATAATAGTGCAGCGCTGTACGAGTCATTGCATCATAACCATCACTTGCCTCTAAAAACCATATCAATGACGAATTCCAGTGGCCGGTGAATAAATACATGAAATGGAAGTAAGCAAGAGGTACACAAACGGAAGTAAAATAGGGCTGTTTCGTTTTTACTCAGAGTTTCACGGCAAAATCCAATCATCAGACAGTATGAGGAGATTAGCAAAAAGTGCAGGTGTACGAAGGCAAGCAAAGGAGATAGAATAATCCAGTGCAGACAATAATAATTATGATAATCAACACCTCCCAGAGGCAGTACGCTCTGCCGTGCCAGAATCAACACCTCAAGGTGCTGGGTGCATATGGTGGAATTGAAGTACAATAATTGGTCGGTTGCTAACTGGGGTCGGTGAAAAGTACAGGGTGCTGTAAAGTTTTAAATCAGCAAGCATCCAATCAAGGTTATATCTCACTATGTTCCACTCCAGGTTCATTACGGTTGCTCTGGACGAAGTGGAAGCATGTCGATTCTTCTGCAGCTGCTCGTACCATGTCTCATCAGCACTTTACTCAGCAGAACGGTGAGTTTAACAGTAGCACTCATTCGTATTGCTTCTTGCTCGATGCTATGGGGAAGGGGTGATGCTACGGGGAGGGATGGGGGTATAGTATGGGGAGGGATGGAGGAGGGGGGGGGGGGGTATACAATGAGGAGAAGGACGGAATGGGGGAGGGTATACTATGAGGTGGGACGGAGTGGGGGGGGGGGGAGGTATACTATGGTGAGGGATGGAGGGGGGGGGGGATGCTATGGGGAGGGATTTGAGAGGGGGTATACAATGGGGAGAAGGACGGAATGGGGGAGGGGTATATTATGGGGAGGCAGGATACTATGGAGAAGGGATGCTATCGGGAGGGATGGGGGGGGGGGTATACAGAGGCAGGATACTATTGGGAGGGGATGGGGGATATATAGGGAAGTACTCACCTCCATTTGCTTCCTTGTTCTCGATTATCTTTACTTGTTTGTTAGTTGCTAATTAATTATTTAGAAAAAAGAATGCTAATTTTTGTGGTTTTTAATAGCATTCTGAAAACTACTGTACTACATAAGTGGGTGTTCATGACCTCTGCTTTTCGTTTATTGTTCTCTGTCCTGCACTGTGTAGGAAGCACAGCATAGCACGGCTGACGCCACCGCTGCACGTTCACTTTCGTTTGTGTTTGGCCCCAGCACCAGTCACGTGCTGCAGGAGACGCTGTGTGCCGAGGTGGCCAAGTTCATCACGGCTCTGGATTCGCGCTACGACGACTTCCATGTGCTGGAAGACCGGAATGGTGTGTGAAAAAGCGAGTCACTTCAGTCTTTACACAGTAGGGATGACGAGTTTAGATGCGAAATGTGACATATGCATTTCATCACTTTTCTGCACCTTGTCCTCACCAACTTACTGAGGTGTGGTGAGCCCATATGTGGGATCATTTCCAAGTCCACTCAGAGTTTGGGGATTTCAGGGGATGTCGGCCGTTGGTCGGTTCAATAGCCAATTGAGTCATCTTTCCAAGATTTCTTTAAAATCTCTCTCCCCTCTCCCGGGGAGACTTACGTGACCAGTATATGGCAGTGAGCAAGTACAAGTACAAGTGTGTGCGTGTGTGTGTGTGTATGCGTGCATAATTATTCCTACATATATGTGTGTGTGTGTGTGTGTGTGTGTGTGTGCGCGTGTGTGTGAGTGTGTATGTGTGTGTGTGCGCGCGCGTGTGTGCATGTGCGTTTGTGTGAGTGTGCATGTGCGAGCGCGTGCGTGTGTGTGTGCGGGCGGGCTTGCGTGCGGGCGTGCGTGTGTGTGCGGGCGTGCGTGTGGGTGTGGTTTTCTGTTTGTATGTATGTGTTTGTGTGCGTGCATATATGTGTGTGTGTGTATGTATGTGCCTGGGGTGTGTATTTGTATGCACGCTTGTGTGTGCATATGTATACGTGCAATCCAGGCGAGGTACACAAGAGCAGTATGCCGGATGCCACTCAGTTCACCGAGTACCTGTGCACACAGGCGGGTAACGGTGGTGATTCATGTCAGCCTGTATCCGCCGACACTGTGAGTCATGCGGTGACGGATAGCTCTGACGGCGGTAGCGTGTTTGTCTTCAGCAAGTCCACACCACAGGAGGAATCCAGCTATGTGCAGAGTATGCTCATTGCTAACAAACGTGACGTCCAGGTAAGTCGCCTTATTGTCTGCTGGGCAGTCGGAAGGAATTGTTGTGTGGTACGGTGAGACATCTGAAGTACAATTTACTCGTGGGGGCCGGCGAGTGGTGGCTGAGGCGAAAGGTTTGGCAATTTAGAGCCCAAATCAGTGTATTTTATTGATTCACGGGGTACCTAAGGCAGATGGTGGTACGGTCAATACCATAGTGACTGTACCGTGTCCGACGCTCCTGGTCTGTGGGACAATCTGGTCGTATCCACCTCCGGCGTGCTGCCTTCTTTAAATATCAGCTTTGCTGAATGAGTGCAATTCACTCAACCTTATGGATATTCGTTGGGATGTCTTTGTTGCTGAAATATTCATCCTCTCCCTCTTGTCTGATGATTGGTTGTCGAATCATGAAATCTCCGAGTTGGAACACAGTGACCCTAGCTTTCCACAGCAGAAATATGTGTTTTAGAATTGTCGTCTTGCTGGTTGCGCTTCTCAACACTATTGTATAGCCGGCGGTAATGCGAATGTGAGAACTTTGCTTACTCTAAGAACTCGGATGGTGAGCCAAGGAAACAATAAAGTTATGCGGTGGAGTCCACCAAGTAAGCCAGATTTTGTCGTTTTCATTGATCTTTTTGTTTTGTAACTGTGTTTGCTTGGACTGTTGCTGTGTGCACAGGTGACTGTGTTCTTGGTCGGAGAGTGCGGTGGTGACTTGCAGCTGGATCCTCCCGGCGTTCTCCAGCTGCTGGCGGCGCACACGTCGCGGCACATGTACCTTCCCGCGTCCTCGCAGGCTGACCTCGCACCGCTGCTCGAGCATCACCTCAACATCAGCAGCCGCCAGCGATTGGTCCCGCTCGTTGCCACGGTGCGGGGCGGCGGCACTTCGGGCAGCTCCTACTACATATCGTCGGCCGAGAGCGAACTCTTCATTTCCGCGGTGTGCGAGAACGAGTTGAAGCCGCAGATGCAGATGGCGATTCGACACGCACCGGATCGCGCCCGACTCCAGGTTGCCGACACGAGCACGGTCTACCTGGCACGGCTGTCTAACCCGTCGCCACGGCAGTTCTCCGTGTACGTGCGCTCGCGCAGCACGTGTCGTCTGCTGGTGTCGGCGCTGACGTCGTCCGCAAAACCACGGTTACGCTACACGACTCAAGAGCATTTGACGGCCGCGGGCGTTCCAACGCAGTCGACTATTCAGCCGCAATCAGGTGGGCATGCACACATACTTTTCATGTGAAGGTCTTTTTGTCCATTGCTAGCTGTCAACCCCATCCCAACCCGTGAAGAAGAATAAATATATCACGGATGAGTGTGACAACGAAATCGACTGCTGGAAACACTTGATGATCTCTGGTGATGAGAGCGGCATCTATTTTATTCATTGCTTTTCTTATGCTGTATCCCCATTGATTATTTTGTCCATTGTTTTTGGTGTTTGTTTCCTAGGCGGCCGCTCGTTCATTCTCGTACCCGTGACCAGCGATGTGGACGTGCGTAGAATCGACATCATCTTCCCGTCAGGGCGACAGGGCCGTGCCCTCTACTCTACCCGCTCGGCGTTCACCAACAGCAGTCTGCTGGTGCTGGGCCCGATCGACTTCACGCGCCATCGCTTCAGGCTGCTGGTGCGTGGTCAGGTGGGGGACACGGAGATGGGTCAGCTGACCGAGTCCATATTCCCGGCGAGGCCCGAGCCTCAAAGTAAGCTGTGTGTGTATGGCGTGCAGTTTTGAAATGCTTCTAGTCAGGTGATGAATGTGAAAAATTGCCTGTGGTACCCCTGCATGTTTTGAATACACTGAGCTGAAAATTTGATTTTCTCAAATTTGCTTCTTATAGGGGTTTGCATACCAGCTCTTCAAATGCTATAATTATGTTACACAAGGCGGACAGGTGACAAAAGTTAAAGGATTGCAAAAAACAGAACCAGCTGCAGCGTCATTAATTTTCATGAAGGGTTTTATTGAGATGTCACGGACAAATTCTAGAAAAAGTGGTGATGGACACAGAAATAACTACGATGGAAATGTAATGTGTTACATAATACTATGTACACTCTTTGTCTCATCCAGCTGTGGACGTCACCGTCAGCAACTCCTGCGACCCGGTACAGGTTGTTTGCCCCGTGGCGAGAGAGGACCGCATCACGGCGTGGCGTGGTGCGGGCCATCACCCCCTAGCTCAGGACAGCCGCATTCAGTTCAACCGCACGCATCTGTTCATCAGCCAGCTGTATCCGCACGAGACGCTCTTCTCGTGCTCGGCCGTCTCCGAAACGGAGGATGTCGAAGAGGCCGTGTTCAATATTGCCAAACAAGGTCAGTTTGTTGTGTGATTTGGATTGGGTTTTCAGAGAGGGACAGTAAAGAACTGGGTGTGAGGTTTCACCTCAGGACTGCCAGTTTGTTTTAGGCCAGTAAGTCTCATTTGAATGGGAGAGAGAGAGAGAGAGACAGAGAGAGAGAGAGAAAAAGAGAGAGTCCGTTCAAGACTAAGTGATCAGTCGATCGCGATCCACCTTTAGTTAGCATCATTTTCTTTTTCTCTACAAACAAAAGTCAAGTCTCCTGGTGATTGCTTTTAATGTGTATTTTTTGTTCCACTGGATTTTCGTTTGTACTGAAGCTCTGCTGCACGTTTTCTATACAGTACTCTGACCAGTAGGCTATGTCCCTATTTGTTTTTCTCTACCCCCCCCGTTGTTGCCTGATGTACGTACGAACTTGTTGCCTGATGATTGCGTAATCACGAACTCAGACTCAGAGCACAGTCAGACCTCGTTTATCCGGTCCTCTTTTTTCCGGATCCCTCGCCGTCCGGAAGAAAATCGTTGCTTACTGATTTACAGCATATGCCATGCATACATACAGTATGTGTGTTCGATTATCCGATTCCCTCGCCTATGTGGATACTTTTGTGGAAAACGGATGTGTGCGGTTAAGCGAGGTCTGACTGTAGCTACAACCTAGCCTTGCTTGACCTTGTTGTTCATTTGTGTGTTTATTTTCTCTCTCAATAATGCTCTGGTTAGGTCTGTCTGAGGATGGGTGTGAGCCGTGCACGCGTCTCGTTTGCCCGTACGCCGACGCCGCCTGGGATTCTCCGTTCGCCTCCGCCAGCAGCCCCGACCTGTTGCTCTGCGCCGTCCCGCCGGAGAGGAGAAGCGGCCATTACACGTGTCGTGACGCCGCCGCCGGGTCGAGTGACTCAAAACGGCAGACCTTCACCGTCTATCCTGCTGGCTATTTCACACGGGGAAGACTGAACCTGCGTCTTTTCCAAGGTCAGTAAGCCTTTAAAAAGAAAGCATAATAATCAGTTTAAAAGATCGCTCAAAATGAGAGAGCTTGGAAGCTCAGGGCCCTATGCTATGCTTTTTTTGGCTAGCTCATCATGCATGTTATTAGAACTGATGGAAATGTTTTTTCCATTGATTCGCTATAGTGTTTTACGTCGACCATGACGGCTTCAATGCCCAACCATACCGCAACGAACTGATGGGCTACATCATTGTAGTGCAAAAATGTTCCATCTGTTCGATTAACATGCATGATGAGCTAGGCAAAAAAGCATAGCATAGGGCCCTGAGCGAAAGAAATAAACTTTCTCTTGTCATTCGAGGGCAATACGACACCGTCCACCACCTTCATGACCTAGGCAAAAAAAGAATAGGGATGTTATAAATTTTTCATATCTCCTATTTTTGTTCAAGACATAACCAAGGATTCGAACCCGCACTATCGCCCTGCATGCATTCCCCCGATACACTTCGCATACACACTCATTCTTCCAAGTTGCTTCACGTTATGATCTTGCATTTGAAAGCCCTATTTGAATATGCATTGTGGCCAGCTGTCTTTGATGGTATGGTATGGTATTGATTTATTTGAATTCGGTATCTCAACAGTACATTGTACAACTTGGGAAGATCCGAATGACATAGATACATAAACATAAAAGTGGAGTAGGTGCTACAGCAGGTTGTGGGACTAAACTAATACCAGTATGCAATACACAAGAAATAAAAGCTGAATAAATACGACTGCATGACATTAGAGAAAAGCACCAAGTAGAGCAAAACAAAGCGACACATCACTCATTGAAAACATTTTCAAAAAGGAGCTGTTTTAATCGGGTACATTGTGGCCCGTCATTAAGAAGGCAGGCAAGACGGGCGTTACATGCAGAAGATGTATTACAAGACTTCATTTCAAAGGGCAGAGCATTCAAAGTAAAGCAATCCTACTAGACAATGAGCGATACCCGCATGCAGTCTTATATCGGCATAACGAAAGATTATTTGCAGAAGAGCCGTGAGTGGTGTGAGCAGGTGTACTGTGCCTACAAAATAGAGAATCTAAACTGGCTACCGGGTGAGCTACTTTACACTGAAAGATAAATTTAATGAACAACTGTAAGAAACGGTACGGGACAGGTACGGGATAGCGCCATGCATATGCCGACGGCACGAACAAACAAACCCAGAATTAAGGTGGCAGACTAAAAAAATCGAATTTGTAAATTCATATTGAGTGCTACGTCAGTTGAAAGAGCATGAATAGCTGCAAATTCGCTGAAAATTGTGTCCCGATCTGACCAGCCGTTCAAGAGTTATGGCCGAAAATGTGCCCTTGCAAGGAAAGATTTTTTTGTTGCACGCTGTCATTTGTTGGCAGCACTGTATTTGAATGTGAGCAGACCGTGTGCAACTTGTCGTATCATGGAAACATGCGAAAGTGTGCAGAATTTTGCTCCAAGTCCAAAAAGTCCAAAAATCACGTTAAAAAAACACGTATTGGGCTGCACGGCGGCGGGCAAAGCCCGCCGCCGTGCAGCAGGACTTTTGCCAGCACCCTCGTGACGTTGCAGATATGTGGCTTGATTATTGTAGTTGACGTTGATTTAGTGACTTTGGCAAGTTTGAGTCGTGTCAAGAAGTCAGGAAGGATTCAGTACTAGGCAGTGGTGGAACGTCAGTGGTAGTTTTGCCGGTTTCTGAGGGTATCCTGGATTTGGTGTGCAGCGCTGTGGAAATGGCTTGCTGTGGAGGTCCCAGCACTGGATGTTGTATCAAAGGTACGACCTCGTAGCACGTGCTAAACCTAAAAAAATTCAAAAATTGACTTGGGTCTGTGGGAGTCTGTGAGAGAACGCCCACTCGTTCCGTTGTGACAGATTCCAGGGCCACGTTGAGGGGTCCTACCCCACCACCCATGGCTGCTTCTGGGCTTGTTTTAGGTTTGGGTCCCGCGCACGGACAGAATGGGCACGAAAATGTGAAAAAATTGTAAATGCATTTGTTTGGCTCTTGGGTGGCTCGCTGGCTTCCAGCCGAGTCTCATGCGAACCGTGGATTTTTTTTTGGGTGGCTCGCACACCGTGGCACTATGCCGGAAATTTGAGTTTTTCCGGCCTGGAAAGCCTGTCAGTGAGGCGCAAGAACTTGTAAATCCTGTCCTGAGGGCCAGCATAGTGGCAGGGGTGTGGGGTCAAAATTTCACTCTAATCCATTGAGAAACACCAAAGTTACGGTCAATTGAATGCCATATGAAATTTTTGGGTAGACTGCCCCCTTAAAGCTGTGTGGGTCCTGGCTAGCGCCATACGTTACTGAAGTAACGTCTTTTGCGTAGCTACGGGAAATATCTTGTTGAATTTGTAAAAGCAAGGAAGGACAAATGGGCACAAGTTATGAGTATGAGTAACTGTTCACTATCGTAACAAGATATTAAGCAGTCAGAAAGTGCGACTCGTATCCATTAATTTTATCTTTCCTATTTTTTTCTAATTGTCCGCAAACTCCAACGCAGCCACTTACACATTTTGGAAAACTTCACTTCTCAACTCCAAAAACGGTCTCTTCACTGCGATTCAAATCAAGATTAAGATTAACATTACACCAAATTTTCGGGCCTGGCCCATCATCGGGGTAATGACTTAATTTTTACGTTTATTATTGCCTCATTACCCGAGGTCAATTCTGCTGAATTTGCTTTCTTTTTTTTCTTTGGATGCCGACCCTGCCGGGTATTTTACACGGGGCAGGCTAAACCTGCGTCTCTACCAAGGTCAGAGATTCTTTATTCTTCCCTTCAAAAGCGGCCCCATACTTGAATGCGTAGAATTCTACGCATTCAACTGTGAAACTTTAAAAGTGAAACATATCGTGGCTCCTGGCCGAGAATTTGATTGAGATGATGAAACATTTTCAGCAAAGAAAGTGCTCACTTTGATCATGGTTTAAATTTACCCTGAAACAGATTGCATATCATCACGTGCACGCACACAACATGTACGCAAATGTCCTTGATAGGGGATAGAGGTGAGCTATGCGAGAGAGATCACATTCCTGTGCAGATACCTGCTTTTCCATTGCACCGTGCTGGCATGGCAACCCTATCATCATAGGTTGTGAGGAATGTTTTAAAACTGTATTTGACGGATATATAGTGAAGGGCATGTTCCATGTGCGATTGTGATCTCTCTGTCCCTCTTCCCGTTCTCTACCCTCTCGCTCTCCCCCCCCCCTCCCTCCCTCTCTTTCTTTGTCTCATTTCCTACTCTGTGCTGCAGATGTCATTGATTATCCACCTGCAATCACCACCACCACCGGTGCGCCAGAGGAAACAACAGATCCCGCCACCACCCAATCGCTGGTAGTAACAACAGAAACACAAACTCTTGCTCCGGATCAGGACACCACCACCAGCACACAAGCCCCACCTGTAGAGACTAGAGAGGCGGAGTTAGACACAACCGCACCTGTTGATCAGCCCACGCAACCGGCACCCGGAACAACTGTCATGGCTACCGAGTCACCAGCCACGACTGACGCCAATCAGTGCCCGCCGGTGGACTATCGCCGTAGCGACGCCGTAGTTAGCCGCTCCAGTCCGGTTCCAGGCGTTCAGGTCATCGAGCTGCGGTGCGACGACGGGTTTTCCCTGCGGGGTGCTGGTCGCATCGCGTGTGTTGAAGAGGCGGGGTACTGGAGCGAAACGCTTGGAGAGTGTATTAGTGTGGGTAAGTTTGACTGGAAACTCCTCGGTGGTAATGCATTGGTCTTGGAATAGTTGGTTATGGGTGCTTGGGGTTGTGGATAAAGAATATTATGACAAGAACGTGATTGTTGTTGTGTGTGTGTGTGTGCGTGTGCCCGCGCGCGCGCGCGCGCGTGTGTGTGTGTGTGTGTGTGTGTGTGTGTGTGCGTGTGCGCGCGCGCGCGCGTGTGTGTGTGTGTGTGTGTGTGTGTGTGTGTGTGTGTGTGCGTGCGTGTGTGTGTGTGTGTGTGTGCATGTGTGTGCGCATGTACGTGTGTGTGTGGGTGCGTGTGTGCATGTGTGCATGTGTGCGTGTGTGCATGTGTGTGTGTGTGCGCATGTGTGTGTGTGTGGGAGGGGAGTCCGCGTGTGTGTGTGTGTGTGCGTACGCGTGCGTGCATGTGTGTGTGTGCGCGTGCGTGTGTGCGTGCGTGGTAGGGGGAAATACGCTGTGGCCCCACCCTCTTTGGTTAGAAGTTAGAACCCTGTGGTTGTTGCGTACTTGCAGTGTGACATGGTTGTCATGCACAATGTGTCCAATGCAGACGTAGGTGTTCCCATGACTACCATGGCAGCTGTCACCATGGCAAGAGAAGAGGAAACACAACCTCCACCGCCGGCAACACCGGGTAATCCATCGTGCCCGCCCTTGGCCGATCCCAGTAATGGACGTATTCGGGTCACGGACGTCGTGAGGGAAGGACAATCGTTGCCACATGCACAGCTGGCGTGCAGACCTGGTTATGTTGTAATAGGCGCTGCGGACGCCGTGTGCCTCTCTGGTGCGAATCAGTGGAGTAACGATATTGGATCGTGTCAGGAAGGTAGGTGGTACGAGTGAGGGAAGTTTTAACGACACTCGGCAGGGCATCAAAAGGTGTCCATATTCGCGAAGTGTCGTTATACCCTAAGTCTCATTTCATGTATTACATGGGATGGTACTTTGCTCTGGGCATGGACATTCTGTCGTTATTCGCGAATTGTCGTTATATCCGCAGTCGATATTAGCGAAGTTGACTGTACACGGATTTCGTGGCGCTTCGAATTAGGCGTACAGCGCGCGGGTCCAGGTTCGCATAATCAGAACACTTTATGCGGGAATTGTGTTCAATGAAATCGGTCCTGGAAAAACTTCGAATTAAGCCATACTCACATTATCAGGATTTCACCTGTAGTTGTTGGCGCAGTCATCAGTGGCATGTCGTCACTGATGGGAAAGAGGAAACAACCTAAGGGGCCGTCCGCCGTAGTAAATACATGTATTTACTTAGAGACGTCTAACGGGAGTTTCTTTCTTGACCGACCCACCCACCCCCGGAAACGCCCCCCAAAAATGCAGATAATACAACTCATGATAAACACCATACTATGCACATAATTAGATACAGTACAGTCGACTCCACTTATAACGAACTTGCATATTGCGAATTTCATGATATAGCGAACCCTTGTCCATGTCCCTGTTTGAGCCAATACAAAACTGACCCTTTGTAGCGAACAGTTATGTGTCCCTGTCGCCCTGTCTACTCGGCCGTGACGCGTGCAGTGCAGTGTAGTGCAGTGCGTCTCAACGCCTACCTGCACTAGCTGTTGCAGTGCTACATTATGTACACGCGCGGTATGGTGTGCATGCACTCTGAAATTTATTTTAGAAACGCCTTGCAGGCAAACCCCCCCGCCAGAAACGCCTGTTAGCCGCCTCTAAGTAAATACATGTATTTACGGACGGCCCCTAAGGATATAAATTTTGATAAGAGATAAGGAACATGCCGGAAGGAACAACAATAATTATTGGATATGAACGATAGCACTAGTGTTCTAGTTCAACAAAATAGATATAGTCAGACCTCGTTTAACCGCACACATCCGTTTCCACAAAAAATATCCGGATAGGCGAGGGAACCGGATAATCGAACACCGGTTATGTGGGATGCATCACGCATGATCTCCCTGTAACCAGCTATTTTCTTCGGGATGGCGAGGGATCTGGATAAAAGAGGACCGGATAAGCAAGGTCTGACTGCACATGGAGATGGTGGTTATTGCGGAGAGCTAGCACGGTGATTGTGTGTTGGTAGGAGCAAAAAGTGTATGTGAATCACGGGAAAAGTGTATCTACGATGTGCCACTGATGACTGTGACGAGATAACGTTCTGAAGACACAACGTATTTTGGTTACTTGCAGACGGCTGGTTACTATGGCAATGAGAACTATACTCTTGAATGCATGAGCAATGGACTTGTTTCCGTGCTGCCTTCTCTATACATGCACATGTACACTGTACATGCGCATATTCACATGTCTGAAGGTTTGTGGTTTTCAATAAAAAGTAAAAAAAAATAACTCTGATGGTGAGCCAATTAAATTATAATTATGGTGAAAAAGGAGGGCAAATATTACGAGTTATGACTAACTGCCCACCAACCATTTTGTCGCATTTTGTTGCATTTTGTCGCACTTGCCGACTGTATAAGATCTGGTTACGTTGGTGGACAGTTAGTCATAACTCGTAACATTTTGTCCTCCTTTTTCGCCATATAAAATAAAATAAATTAGCATCCCCCCACCTCACAACAGAGCAACTGAGTTTTGCATAAGCTGGGAGTGCCGATTCGAGCAACTGGTATGATGGCTCTGCTTGGAGCCGCTAGATGGCTTGCAGCTGAGCCAGCAAATGACTCCGCTTGGAGCAGGCGAATGACTCGCAGCTGAGCTAGCAAATGACTCCGCTTGGAGCAGGCGAATGACTCCGCACGGAGCCGGCAAATGACTCCGCATGGAGCCGGCAAATGACTCCGCATGGAGCCGGCGAATGACTCCGCATGGAGCCGGCGATTTGTTTGGGAACACATGTTCCGCAAGTTGCACGCTCGAAAGTCCAAACAGCAATGACATGCAAGAGACATTGTACAGGATTTTGAAGGCGCGTGCCCACATGACTCGCGCATGCGTGCAGGTCGGGCCAGCTCGCTGGGCTGGCTGCTAACTCGCTCATTTACAAAAACTTGATCACACTACTGCCTGTGTTGCTTGTCTCTTTCTGTTCAGAGTTTTCACCCACAACAGCCCCTGCCGTGACTGAACCACTCACCACACCTACACCAGTAATCACCACCATCCAAACTGAAGCCAGGACAACCGAACCATCAAACGGTAGGTAGCGTCTGTTGCGTATGAGATGACGAATGAGATGATGAAGGAGAATTCTCAACTCTTTTTCTTTCTTCCATTCTATCGTTATCCTTATTGAAATGGGATCTCTAGGTATTGCGTGCCCAATACTACCTGATCCAGCCGGTGGCCAGATACTAACGAGGACGATCGACAACAACGGCCAGATGATGGGGTTTGTGGAATTGCGCTGTGACGAAGGCTACACTGTCATTGGTGTGTCCACCGCGGTGTGTTTGCCTGTAGTCAACCGGTGGAACAGAGCCATCGGGACGTGTGAAGGAGGTAATGTGAACATTGTTTGTTTGTTTTGTTCATTTATAGAAAAGAAAAAGGACTAGGTACTACAAGTTACGCTATAATGTCCACTAACACCACCAGTTACTTGACAATCAGCTCATGCGATAGCATTGCACAAAAACTGACCGACAGTACCGACGTTCTGCGACGAACTGGCTATCAGCTCCAGCACATCTTGGGTGTACACTCCAACATCGTAGCGTATAGCGTAACTTGTACCTCCTTGGTTCATTTTCTTTATTATAGATTAATCATTGGCTCTCCATCCGAGTATATGTTTGTTTGTTTGTATTTTACTTCACCAGATACACAGGAATTTTCTGCCTTCTTCTCTAAGCATACGGCTAGACTCTCAATAAAAGATGAATAGAATGCAAAACGACAATGGGCTCTCGGTGCGTTGCAATGTTTAATGGGATGGGGTGAATTCAAGATGGCAGCCGGAAAATCAGCTGACGACGAAGTTAAAGAGCGGTTCATCGTGCTGGGGTTGCAAATGACTTCAAAATTTCAATTTCTGGATTTATCTCTCTGATATTGGGAAATTAGAGGCCACATGCCTCGCACTGCTCATTTTCTCTCCAAAACTCAACACTTGCAAGCCAGATACGAAAGAAAGAAAAAACAACCCTGGTTCGAATCCCGGTAGTGTGACTGATGACTTTTTTCTTCCTTTCGTATCTGGCTTGCACGTGTTGAGTTTTGGAGAGAAAAAGTGCAGTACGAAGCTTGTGGCCTCTAATTTACTAATACTTTGAAATTCTCCGTGAAGTCCAAATTTGAAATTGCTATATCTCTGATAAGTGATTCTACCCGAGCCATGATGCACAAGAGAAAGTGCGGAGGTGGAAGTGAGAAGAGGTGCTGCTAATTATGCTATGATATAAGTCCCGAACGGGAAGTGAGGCCAAGATGGCAGACGGCAGACGGCTAAATACTATGCCGTCCCAACAGACATGTACGGAATGGTGTGTACACGTGGGGACAGAAGACGGTGCAGCAGCACGCACAACATATTGAGTAGCCGGAAATGAAATGGAGTCGTCCTTTTCGTAGGGTTGTATGTCCCCTGCCCTTTGCCTTATCCTAATGATTATTGTAAACAAAAAGTTTCTCTTCCGCTCTGTACGTCTCTCCCGTTCTGCCTCTCTCTGCCTCTCTCTGTCTCTCTCTGTCTCTCTCTGTATCTGTCTCTCTCTGTCTCTCTCTCTGTCTCTCTCTGTCTCTCTCTGTCTCTCCCTGTCTCTCCCTGTTTCCGTCTCTCTCTCTCTCTCTCAGTCTGTGCCTCTGCCTCTCTCCATGTGCCTCTGCCTCTGCCTCTGCCTCTGTGTTTGTGTCTATGTCTGTGTCTGTGTCTGTGTCTGTGTCTGTGTCTGTGTCTGTGTCTATGTCTGTGTCTGTGTCTGTGTCTATGTCTGTTTCTCTCTCCACCAGTACCAGCAATAACCACCATACCAACAGAAGCAGTGACAACAGCGTCATCAAACCGTAGGTGGTGCCTGTTGCATATGAGATGAAGAATGAGATGATGAAGGAGATTTGATGATGAAGAAGATGCGGTCAATATTCTCTTCGCTTTCATTTTATCGTAATGTCGACACTAGGACTTATGGGCAAAGTGGTGGCATGCTGATGAAAACATCTTTGCTTGATATGTTCCTCGTCATGTCAGGGGACGCGGCTGCGAATCTAGCTAACTTCTTCATTTTTTTCTTTTTTTCTTTCTGTCGTTATCCTTATTGAACGGGGTCCAGTCGATGCATGCCCACTACTATCTGATCGACCTGGTGGCCAGATTGTCACGAGGACGATCAACAATAACGGTCGGCTGATGGGGTTTGCGGAGCTGCGCTGTGACGACGGCTACACTATTGCCGGAGTGGCCACCGCGGTGTGTCTGCCTGGCGTCAACCAGTGGAACAGAGGCATCGGGATGTGTGAAGGAGGTAAGATGCACGCCGTTGAGCTCTCGATGCGTCGCAATGCTTCATGCTAGGGGTGAAACGAGTATCTATTTTGACCAACCGATCACTCATTCATAATGTTCGATCGAGTATCCGATTATTTCGAGTATTTTATCAAAATTCGAAAGCGCTAGATTTGTGAGTTCTCGACCAATTCGGAAGAAATTATCTGTGAACATAGAACAAAAGTCGCCAACGTCTTGTACAGAGTGTAGAGTAACGATTTTCACCAGTACTTTCATTATCTCATAACAAACTAACGTTACTTGCCGTGGTGATCGCATCGTCGAAGTCATAAAATACTGACTCAAAGGCATGCAAAACGCATGCATACCAGTCGATGAGCGGTACAACAGAAGTTTTTGAAAAATAGAATGCCAATACTAAAAAAAACGATCGAGTGCAAAATTTCGAATACTCGCTCGTTTGAAATTTTCGAACGAATACTCGAATATTCGAACTAATCGTTTCACCCCTACTTCATGCCCATGTTGCAATGCTTTGAGTCTTTTTTACGGGGTCAACGCATCTTAAAGATTGTACTTCAAAGGCAATGAACAAATTTTCTGCATTCACTGACAGCAAACGGGATCAAAATGTACTTAATTAATGTGCGACTCATAGACCCAGTAATAACTCGCCAAAGACAAGAGGGATACACATACACTCACAGCTTTTAAAAAAGGTGTCAACAAACACATTTCAGACCAGCCATGGTCTTGGGACGTGCTTTGAAGCCCATCATGTTGATCGTCTCACTGTTCTTTCCAGATCGCACCTCTCGGTTTGGGGATGTGCATTGAAGCACCCCATACTAACGGTCTATACTGTCCTCTCTTGGTCACCACTCTCCCTATTACCTATATTGTAATTACCATTCATGTATTGCGCTTCAGATTTTCTTCCGTTTTTGTCTCTTGGTGCGTTACCGGCATGGCGATACTGAGACCTAATGGTCAGTGGAGTGCCTGTAGCCTCACCAGCACTGCTACTATCTGTGACTGTGGCGACCACCATTCAATGTCTAGTCCTCCCCTAACCGTACCCCAACTCTCTCTCTCTCTCAGCTCTCTTTTTATCTGTCTTTTCTTACTCTTTTTTCTTGTCAGCTTTCCTGGTGGTTATGTGCTTTTTCAAGTAAATAATAAAAAATAAAAAAAATACTGGTACGAAATCATGGAAAGAGTGTGTGAGCGTGGGGAATGGGAGTGGAAACACTTTCTTTTTGCCACCATACCTGCACAAATCGGGTTTGTGTTTACAAACATACGCGGCCTCCAACACTCTCTGCATTTCTTCTATTTTTTCCCAATTGTTTGAAATAGAATCTGCTGATGATGCCTGCCCAATGCTACTGGATCCAGCCGGCGGCCGGATTTTACTGCGGACAATCGACAACAACGGCCAAATGATGGGGTTTGCGGAGCTACGCTGTGACGAGGGCTACACTGTAATTGGTGTGTCCACCGCGGTATGTTTGCCTGTGGTCAACCAGTGGAACAGAGTCCTTGGGACTTGTGAAGGAGGTAAGAATGTGGTGGACGGTGGCATTGTTCCACTATCATGCCGTGTGTGTGGCACTCACTTGCCCAACAATGCACAGTGCTGCTCAGTCTCAATGAAATCTGATCACTCGAGAACGCGCCGGGCAGTGCGCAGCCCTGGGCTTGCAAACACTGGGCCGTGAAATGATGGAAGGTGAAAACTTGACTCGCGCGATCCGATTTCATCGAGCAGCACAGGACAACTCCTTTGTCATGTGACGGCATTGTCATGTGACGGCATGGTCATGTGACGACATTGTCATGTGATGGTATTGTCATGTGAGAACATGGTCATGTGACCGCATATGAGTAGAAATACAAAGTGATCATGTCATGTGGACAGTGGAACCAACATGGCCGACATCATGTGACCCACTGATGTAACGAGAGTTATTCCTCCTCACGAGCTGTTGAATGATGCAACCCCAGCACTCGATAGCATGGCTTCTACCTTTGCAATCGTTGTCTTTGACGATGGAAGTCAAAATTAATGTATGTGTGTTTGTGTGTTTGTGTGTGTGTGTGTGTGTGTTTGTGTGTGTGTGTGTGTGTTTGTGTGTGTGTGTGTTTGTGTGTGTGTGTGTGTGTGTGTGTGCACGTGTGCACGTGTTTGATATACGTTTATGACTGACAGTTACAGAACTCACCACGCAAGCAGCAGCAACAACAGCAGCAGCACCGACCACCACACCCCCACAAGCAACCACCACTGCCCAACAGAGCAGCAGCATCTGCACGCCGCTTGCCAGCGTCAGCAACGGCGTGATCTCACTGCGTCCTCTACGCGAAGGATTCGAGCTCGCACGCCTCAGCTGCGACGATGGCTACCGTGCCACGGGTGCCCAGCAGATTCTGTGCGCCGGTGGAACGTGGCGGGGACAGATAGGAACGTGTCAGCCTGTAGGTAAGGTCACCCATGCACCCTAGTGGTGGGGACAGGTCCGAAAATTCGGCGAGCCTTTTTTATTTAAATAATGCAATGAATAAAACTATATGTGCACTCACATCACAGCCGTGGCAACGAATATAGTATTCCATAACGTTTTTGTCACAATCATCAATGGAATTCATGACTGAAGCCCTCATTATTTAAGTAGCATTTGTAGTGAAGAGGCCGTAGTCGAGTTGCTAGGAAGCCTTTTGTGTAAGTGGCTGCAATGGAGTTTGCAAGTGCTTATAAGTGCGGCAAACTTGTTTACCCTAAAGTCGCGTATCAAACCCAGCATATTCCTGTAGAAGCCAATGTTGGGGGCCAAGCTTCTATTCACATCAGGCTTCTATTCAAATCAAGTACCATATTTCCCCGATTAATAGTCGCACTCGATTACACGTCGCACGCCCGTTTTCAGGTTTGAGCAATATTATTGTTTTGATATATTCACTTCAGCAGTAAGTTCTGCTCGATTGCAAGTCGCACCCCCTTTTTACCCTTGATATCTTGTGTAAAATGGTGCGACTTATATTCGGGGAAATACGGTAGTTCTATGTGTGTCAACACTAAAACCAGGCTTATGTGCAGGCAGTGCATCTTGAAAGTCAGGCTTCTATTCAAAACAGGCTTCTATTCAAAACAGGCTTCTATTCAAAACAGGCTTTAATTCAAAACAGGCTTTAATTCAAAACAGGCTTTAATATGAGACAGGGTTTTATACAAGACACTACGGTATGCATTGTAGTGAATTTCGATTGCCGGGAATACGTGTTAAATTTCTGCACAGTTCTCACGGGGGGATTTTGTCGGTGCAGGAGAGCTGTGTTCATTTGGGAGAACATGAGTCTTATTGTACTGTGGGATGGCATCAGAAAATGTGATCATGAATTTGCAGCTGGGTTTGGGTATGAGCCCCGTATGGATAATGTCAAACCTTTTTGCATACATCTGGGTCATGGGCCGTCTGCTTATATTTCTGTGTGTTCTCGTGTTCAGTTCGTCTTGCT